AACCCCCCCCCCCCCCAAAAAAAGAACCCGTAAGATGCAAACATATTTATGTTGATAATTAGGGGTAAATAAACAGAAGCATGCCCTAATCTTTTGAGGAATGAGCAAATCTATGCTTTTTCGCATTACTTATCTGGGGAAAAACGTAAATGTTTTGTATTCTTGGGGTATTTTTCTTTGATTCTTATTTTGAGTTGTCGAGTCAGTTGGCTCTTTAGTAACTAGTAAGAGAGTGATGCTTCAATTGGTTGAGATTAGGTTGACCTTGATTGGTGGCAGTCAAGCACTAATGTGTTGGAATATTGATCAAATAAGAAACCAATCTCCAAGTGTTAGAAGGCTCTCAGTTTTTCTTTTTCTCTATAAAGGAAAGACTTATACTATATAATGGTGTGAAAGCATTTGAATGATCTTAGTAATATCCTTGCTTTAGTAATACTTTCCACACTCCAGTTATAGTTAATCTGGCTATTGTAGACATAGCTCATTCCTAGTGTATCACTTACTCTTTCCATCATTTTCTGTGGATTATCTTTAATGTAATTTTCTTTCAATGTCTTCCTTTTTATGTTTCTTAGCTATGGGGTGTCCTAGTATAATATCTGCTCTCCAACTCTTCGCTTAGCTTTTTATTACCAGTTGCATTCTTTTGTGTAGGTTATGAGGAAAACAAAAGTGGGGATGAAAGAGTATCAGTTAGAAAGCATGTTTCTTCACCACACCTACATGTATGGTGGTTGTAGGCATTGTTCATACACATGCATATGTGCTACTGGCGACAATAGGTAAGTTTGCTTTTCCTTGTATCTTCCATCTCAAGCAGTGATGCACTGTAAATATAAAAATTGTAAACCATCGAGCAGATTTTTCAGAATGTTGACTGTTTAATGGGTGGTAGACCTGGTATCTGGCTCACTAACTTCTATATAACCTAAAGATCGCGGAATGAGCTAGTCTTTGGTGTCTATGAAATATATATATATATGTGTTTTTTTTGTGTGCGTGCGTGTGTGTGTGTGTGTGTCCTACATTGACTCAAAAGACGTGCTCTAGGCTGCATTGTTGTGGAGGAGAGCTGGAAGTACATTATCTAGTATATGTAGGCTTTTAAGGAAGCTGAGTGGCTTCTTTCAGAACACCTCCTTCCGGGCGACCAATGAGACTNACGCGACCAATGAGACTGACGCTATGGATCAAATTTTCAGCCGATTGTAATTCCGTAGATGAAGTACTTTCAACTTTTTTTATTTATAAAAAATGATGTAAGTACCTTCTTATAAGCATTTTGATAGACTTTCTAATGAGCTTAATACATTATGTGTGCTTTAGGCTGTTGCCATCATAGACCTAGGAGTTTGTAGAAGGAGAAAGTAGAAAGGAAAAATTGAAGTACGGATATTGGGATGAGACTAAAGGAATCAACCAATAATTGAAGATGCAACCTCACCCAAATAACAATTACATCCCAGTTCGAGACAAAGTTGGGGTCAGTGATGTGAATCCTCACTTCTTTCTTTAAGCTCAACTCATACCATCATCTTGCCAAAATAAAATAATAGTAGTGAAAATACCATCTCTGTGTGACCCATAGGTCACGTGTTCGAGCCGTGGAAGCAGCCACTAGTGCTTGCATTAGGGTAGACTGTCTACATCACACCCTTTGGGGTGCGACCCTTCTCCGGACCCTACTAGTGCTTGCATTAGGATATTTTTCTTCCATTGTGCCTATCTTTTGCTAAGTCTACATCGATTCCAAGGATTTGTATGTATTTCGAGACAACTTCTTTTCATGTGATTTTAGGTCTACCTCATCCCCATAGTTCCACACCTATGGAACGTGCCTCTGTTGGGCGACGCAAGACATGACCAAATCATCTCAAGCGACTTTCTCTTATTTTATCCACAATGCGTTCTACTTGCGCCTTCTAACAAATGTGGTCATTTTTAATCTTATCTAATCTTGTATGACCGCACATCCATCTTAGTATCCGCATCTCTACAACACTCATCTTGTGGATATGTTGGAGACAACTTCCTTCCATGTGATTTTAGGTCTATCTCATCCCCATAGTTTCACACCTATGGACCGTGCCTCTGTAGGGTGACGCAAGACATGACCAAATCATCTCAAGCGACTTTCTCTTATTTTATCCTCAATGCGTGCTACTTGCGCTTTCTAACAAATGTGGTCATTTTTAATCTTATCTAATCTTGTATGACCGCACATCCATCTTAGCATTCGCATCTCTGCAACACTCATCTTGTGGATATGTTGGACTTTAGTAACCTAACGTTCACTACCAATATAACATTGCCGGTCTTATAACTGTTCTATAAAACTTACCAAAAAAAGCAACCTCACCCACTTATCCAAAAAGATATAAATAACTACCTCATCTATCCTTTTAATCCAAAGTTCTGGGTAAGTTTTCACCATTGGTGGGAATGGACTCATTATATAATTAAAAGTAGAAAAGTTCCCATGTTTTTAGTTTTTACCATTTCTTCATTGTCTAATTTAAGGACTTTGCATTAGTAATAAAAAGTCTGTCACTCTCTTAAAGAGGTTGTAAGATACTTAATGTTTCTACAGAGATGTCGATATGCCTACTCCTTTCTAAAATATGGTTGGTGGAACAGTACAGAGATAGGGAGAAGGACCTGCACATGGTTTTTATTAGCCTAGAGAAAGCATATGACAAGGTTCATAGAGAAGTTCTCTGGAGATGCTTGGAGGCAAAAGGTGTGTCGGTTCCTTACATTATGGCGATTAAGGACATGTATGATGGGGCTAAGACCCGGGTAAGGATAGTAGGAGGCGACTCGGAGCATTTTCCTGTTGTTATGAGGCTACACCAAGGCTCTGCGCTCAGTCCGTTCCTATGCCCTGGTGTTGGACGCGTTAACACACCATATTCAAGGGGAGGTGTCATGGTGCATGCTATTCGCCGATGACATAGTTCTAACGAGAGGCTGGAGGTTTGGAGACAGGCTCTTGAGTCTAAGGGTTTCAAGCTGAGCAGGACGAAGACGAAATACCTGGAGTGTAAGTTCAGCGCTGAGCCGGGGGAAGTGGGCATGGATGTGAGGCTTGACTCACAGGTCATCCCAAGTAGAGGCAGCTTCAAGTACCTTGGGTCGGTTATCCAGGGGGATGAGAGATCGACGAGGATGTCACACACCGTATTGGGGTAGGATGGATGAAGTGGAGGTTAGCATTTGAGTCCTGTGTGACAAGAGAGTGCCACCGATACTCAAAGGTAAGTTCTATAAAGCGGTGGTCAGACCGGCAATGATGTACGGGGCTGAGTGTTGGGCTGTTAAGAACTCACATATCCAGAAGATGAAAGTAGCAGAGATGACGATGTTGAGGTGGATGTGCGGACACACTAGGATGGATAAGATCAGGAATGATGATATTCGGGAAAAGGTGCGTGTGGCTCCCATTGATGACAAGATTCGGGAAGCAAGGCTCAGATTGTTCAGGCATGTACAGAGGAGGAGCCCAGATGCCCCAGTAAGGAGGTGTGAGCGGCTGGTTGTGGAGGGCACGAGAAGAGGTAGAGGGCGGCTGAAGAAGTATTGGGGAGAGGTGATCAGGCAGGACATGGCGAGACTTCAGATTTTCGAGGACATGACACTCGATAGGAAGACTTCGTACCGTTGTGAGACTAGTCTGGTAAGGTTTTTGTCTAAGCTAGCTAGTGGCAACGTCGTGTCTTACTATTTTGCGTTTCAGTGCCGGACATATTTACTGGCTATCGTTTTTGTTTTACATCTTTCTTCTTGATTTAATGTTGTTCTTGTTTTTCCTATAATTTCTGTGGTGATACTGATATTGTCTCCTTTTGTCTTTTTGTCCTCTTAAGCCAAGGGTCTTTCGTAAACAACCTCTCTACCTCTTCGGGGTAGGGGTAAGGTCTGCGTACACACTACCCTCCCCAGACCCCAATAGTGAGATTTCACTAGGTGGTTGTTGTTGTTGTTAGGGCCTCTTATCCTAATTTTCTTCCTACACCATGACTAATGTTCGTGTAATTTAATGGTAAAAGCTGATGATTTCTATTCATGAATATGAAAGGAATTTATACAGTTACAAGAGATCTAAGGAAAGAAATCAAAACAAATGAAAGAGAATATTACAAGATCTGGTAAATGTATCTGAACTGATCTGGTAAATGTATCTGAACTGATCTGGTAAATGTATCTAGACTATATTTACGACTAATATTCTATAATACTCCCCCTCAAGCTGGAGCATAGATGTTGATCATGCCCAACTTTTTCCAAAGATTATTAACTCGAGTTCTATTCAGCGCCTTTGTGAACAAATTAGCTGGTTGCTCTCCCGTCTTCACATAACTAGTAGAAATCAAGTTCTCCTAAATCTTCTCACGAATAAAGTGATAATCAACCTCGATATGTTTAGTTCTTTCATGATATACTGGATTCGAGGCGATATGCAAAGCAGCTTTATTATCACACCAGAATTTTGCTGGTATAGGGTGCTTCAACCCAATTTCTGTCAGAAGGTGATGTATCCACATAATCTCACTCGTGGTCTGTGCCATAGCTCAGTACTCAGATTCTGCACTTGACCGGGATACAACATTTTGTTTCTTGCTTCTCCATGATATCAAATTACCACGAACAAAGACACAATAACCGGTAGTAGACCTTCTATCAGTTTTGGATCCAACCCAATCAGCATCTGCAAAACACTCGATCTGAGTATGTCCGTGGTTGCTATATAATATGCCAAGTCCAGGAGCTCCTTTTAAGTAGCATAAAATCTGTTCTAAAGCTGCCCAATGATTGACCGTAGGTGCAACCATGAATTGGCTAACAACACTTACTGTAAAGGCGATATCTGGACGAGTTACAATGAGATAGTTTAGTTTCCCAACTAACCTCCTGTATCTTTCTGGATCGTCAAAGGGATCACCATCATCTTTTGTAAGATGCACATTGGGAACCATTGGAGTACTACAAGGCTTGGCCGCCAACTTTCCAGTTTTCACAAGTCAAGGATATACTTTCTCTGAGACATGAAAATTCCTTTCTTGCTTCTAGTTACTTCTACTCCCGAGAAGTATTTCAGCTACCCCAAGTCTTTCGTGTGAAACCTAGTATGCAAGAATGATTTGAGAGAAGATATTCTTGCAAAATCACTTCTTGTGATGACAATGTCATCAACATATACAACGAGAAGGATAGTGCCAACCGCTGATTGTCTATAGAAGACCGAGTGATCACATTTGCTCTTTAAAAGCCCAAATTCTTGAACCACCTCGCTAAATTTTCCAAACTAGGCACGGGGACTCTACTGCAGACCATACAAGGATTTCTTCAAGTGACAGACTTTCCCATACTCCCCCGAGCAACAAAACCAGGTGGTTGCTCCATGTATACTTCCTCTTGGAGATCACCATGAAGGAATACATTCTTACTATCTAGCTGATGTAAAGGCCAATGCTCGGAGGCAGCTAAGGAAATAAATAATCTAACAAAAGTGAGTTTGGCCTGTCTGAATAATCCACTCCATAAGTTTGAGCATACCCTTTAGCCACTAGTCTAGCCTTAAGCCTAGCCACAGAACCATCTGGATTTACCTCGACTGCAAAGACCCATTTGCATCCCACTGCCTTCTTCCCCTTTGGTAAGTCTACCAAATCCCAAGTGTGATTTTCATCTAGCGCATGGATCTCCTCAAGTATTGCATTATACCACCCAGGGTGATTCAAAGCCTCTTTAACTGTCTTTGGCACAGAGATAGAGTCTAGAG